TGTAAAGCAGCTAGAAGACCTTTATTTGATCTGTTATAACCCAGCTGCAGGGTCCTAACAAGGGTGGCGTTTCAGGGCCAAACATGGGCAGCATGCATAGGCCAAATAATGAATGCTCTCACTACATGTGTGCCGTTTTTTTACCTTAATCCTAACTACTAAAGTAATTTTTAGATCACCTAGTCTTTCCTAGCTGTCATCACAGATGGGAAAGGGGGTACGTAGCACAATCATGGCTTGAGTGGAAGTGTTATGTTGGTTTGCTGGCAGGAAATATTTGGTGGCCCAAGTAGCTTATTTCCCAGAAAACACTAAAATATGGAGAAGCTGCCGCTGCAGCAGCACTGAACTTCCTCAGCTGGTTTCTCTTGGTTCAGGAGTCAGCTCAGAGTAGTATTAATATGGAAATACAATACAAAAGTGAACCTGGCTTTCTTTTTGAAGAAACTGCCTAACTCTATGCTCAGCGATGATGTAGACAAATGAGCAGGAGCTATCAGAGCAAAGCTGTGAAGACCAGGGAATTAAATCTGCAGGTCTTTGTGATAAATAGAAGCAAATTCCTGATGACTGTAAGGCTGGGAACTTTAAATGAAACCTTTTACCTCTTTCAAGTGGAATGGCTTAGCCTTTGACATGGGTAGAGCTGCAGGTTTGCGTAAACCCTCTTAAAAACCAGAGTGTAGGTTAAGCGTTAGGTAACTAGCAACAGAGAGTTGTCAAAACTTGTGAATAAAGCCTGTGAATTTCTGTAAGTGTATATAGTGAATTGCATGTGTAAAGATATAATTTAAAAAGAAGTGCAAAACACTTGTAGGTGGTAACTCATCAGATTGCTAGTGTCAGTTGAAAAGAGAAAACAAGCATTGCTTCACAAACAAGTGAAGCGTTACTGGTTCTGCCAGTGACTCTGATGTTTGAAAGGCTTTAGATGCGTATCTTGGCTTATAATAACCTCATTTATCAGTTGTCAGTTCTGTGCAAAATACAATGCAAACGTGGTATGGTTGCCTTGGTTTGGCAGAGCGTATTTGGATGCCATGAATTGTAACTGCTGCATGAGAACTATTTTACTTACTTGCAGGTTTGCATAATCTTGGGTCAGCTCCTGTTGCCTGATGTTATCAGCGTACAGTATCCTGGCCAGGGGACTGCCAGCTATTCCTGCACCCTGTCCCCTTGTCCTAAGGAGCTGTGTGGCTTAGGGGACATGACAAGTGGGAGTCAAAAGGAAGCTCAGTGTTTTGCCTGTTTTAATTTTTGCAATTTGCATACTTATAGTAACTTCCTGGGGTTTTAAAACTTGTTTTTTGCATTGAATGGCATCTGCCCATTCTCAGCCTGTAAACAATATTGCTTACAGAATGAATGGGATTAAAGTATACAGCTGTGCTTCTGTGCAACTACATGTTTATACAACTGATTTCTTTTTTTTTCCCCAGCACTATTTGTTTTTATTTGAGCCTCACCATAGAGTGCCTAGATGACCAGAGACATGTGGCTGTTCTGAGAGGGTTTCTCTTTTGGAAGTAAGCTAGGTACAGCAGAGAGACTGAAAAGAACAACTTGATGCGGACAAAGGAAGCTAAACCAATATAACTACTCTTACAGATATATTCATAACACTTTTTCCCTGTGGTAACACCATGGGAATGCTATAGCAGATGCTTAAGTGGAGATTCTAGATAGCCAAACATCTTCAGAGGAAACTTATTAAGGACCTTTCATCTAAGCTAATATTTTCAGTCTTTGAGATTCCTATGATCTCTAAATCCTTCAGTGACTTGAGCTGTAATAAAACTTCATTTAGAATTTCTGTCTGAACTCCCTACTCCTCCACAGGAGCTCTGTGCTGGATGAAACAGAGCAATGGTGGAAAACGGCCTCATATCAAGTAAACACTAAGCTCATTAAGTCCTGCAACCTCAAAGAGCTTGGCTTTGAGAGCAGCCCAGACTGGGAGACAGCCTGTCTAATCACCTTCTCAGTGAGCAGGAGTTTATAAGCCTCTCCCTGTCTAAGGCAAGAATTCTGTACAAATGTTTTGTCTGGAGGTCTGTTAAGAAACCATGTCTTCAGTATGCAATTTTACAAGAGAATTAAGCAAGTGGAAATCCAGAACAGGTGAAGTTAAGTAGACTGGGTCAACTGTAGTGAGGTAGGTGACATATGCTGAGTTCCCAAAGAACACCTTCCTCTTACACAAGTTGTGTGAAGGCCTTGTGGGATTTTAAAGTGTCACAAATAATGTGCCACTCTCAAAACTGCAGTAGTAGCACATCCCTTGGAGCATTCACTCTTCTATGAAATCAGGGAACCCTGTGCTGCTGGTTTTGGCAACTTGGATGTGGTTCATATCTCTCTGTATCTAAGTACCTACAGCTGCTCATTATACTCCAGCTGGGGTGGAGGTCTGGAACCAAAGGATGTATTTGACCACAGACCTGGTTTTCAAAACCTCACTTCAGTGAAAGAACCTACAGTGAAAGAACCAGTAGCAAAAGATACTGGTAGAATTACCCATTCAGTTCTGAAATAGGACATTCCAGATGTATCCAATAGCACAAAGTACCACTTTGCGCTGTAATCTGTGCGCTTTGTATTGCCTTTTTGACTGCGCCAGCACAGATTTATTCTGGATTAAAGTGACCATATAACCACAGATTTAAGGACAGAAATGCAACAGAACCTGCCTTTATTTCTGTGCTTTAAGAGATCTGCTGGCAGGCTCTTTAATTATTTAACTGCTCTGCAAGACAACAGAAGTGTCCTGCTGCTCAGCCTTGCTTTTACGTCTTTGATACCAGAAAAATGTACTGTTAGTATGTGCCTGGATATTTTTGTTTTTCTGTTGCACGCAGCCATGTATGCCAGACGTGTCTGAACCTCTTTAAGAATCTCTGCCTTAAACAGTTGTGCTCATGTCTTTTTACAGCTGTTACTGACTATTACTATAAAAACGGTCAGTCCAAGTTCTTTTGGTTGCTCCATCAAACACTGCAAATGCAGATACTCTTTCATTCAGTGTAGTTTATTTCAAAATTGTCACACTGCAAAACACTTACTCTGGAGTTGCAGATTTAGTGGTGGTTTTTAACATCATCTTTCCCTAGGCTTTTTTGTCTATTAAACAATTCCAGCTGGCAGAGGAGGACAGAGCACTTCCATAAGTGTTCCCACGATCCAGAAGTGAGGAGCATGACCCTGTGTCCATGTGCCAGCTTTCCTTCCTGGATGTAAGAGATAGCGGGAGGTAAAGACAATACTTGGTAAGAAAGGTCCCCTGCCTGAGCTTGGCTGCTGGAGCTGGACAGGCGTAGGCCATCTAAATAGTATCTTCCTCTGGGGACTGAAAGGTTAGTAGCAAAAAGTGAGTAGTTTTCCTTTCCCCTGCACATCTAATGAAGATGAAAGTTTTGAAAATGTTGGCCGTCACTTTTGTACACAAATACGGTGATAGTCAGTTCAGTGATCGGTTTGGGGTTGCCTTCCAAGATAAGTAACTTCACTCCAGATTCATTTCAGCCAAGGATTTGCTTGTCAGGTTATCCAGGTATTGAAGGAGTATGGGGCGGTTTATGTACATTACCTCCTTCACTGACAACAAGTGACTGTCATAAACTTCTGTTCTTGATGTTGGTGCATTCTGCTTTTCCAGCTGAAGACTCAGATCTTCTGGACGTTATTGCAGATATATGACAGTTGATGTCTAACTGTCTGTAGAGCTGGAATGTTTTGCAAAGGTGATGTCCTATAGCCTGAACTGGATGAGAAATAAATAAATAATCTCCCCAAACCTAGCTGGCTGTAATATATTTCACTTTTGATAGTGAATGGGTAGTGCCTTTAAAGAACAGCTTTCATAACGAATGTCTACTAAACTGAGAGCTCCCTCCATTCCTCATTGCTAGGGTATAGTTAATTGCAGGAAACTTTGCTTCCTGTTTCTCCCTGACCTAGGGGCTGCTACTTGAATAATGTGATAATGTGAGTGCTTTAGTTTTGAAGCCTTTAAAAAAACAAAACAACTTCTAGAGCTTGGCAGAACACAGGAGGGAGAAATTAAAGCTAAGCTCCTTGTATATGAGTGGCTAGAAATCTCAAAGAAAAAAAGGAGGGGAAGAAGCAGTGAAAACAAACTGGCTGTGCTTCAGCAGCCTGGTGACCTGCTGATCAAAGTGACTCATGCAGATTTTGGGTACTGTTAGGCTTGAAGGAAGGTGTCTGTTTATATCTGTTGGCGAGAAGGAGAGCTAAAGGTTATGTCAAGAACATGGTTCAGCTCACCAAGTGTCTGTGGTAATGTCTGTTGCGCATTTTCTGACTGAAGTGAAGTTTAAGGGGTGTGAGACCAACTGCAGTAAGCCCTTTGTAGTATATTGCTGTGATTTCTTGAAATAACTGAAGTCCCTGATTCCTCGGATACAGGCAGCTTTTGGTGTGTGTTTTGTAGCAACATATACTTTGTGTGCATGTTTTCTTCTGTTTTTTTGATAACGCTGAAGGAGGGAGAGTGTGTTCTGTGTTGGAACAGAATTTGGCTTGGATACTACTTACTTATCTCAAGCTGAATGGCACAATACAAATGAGGAAGTGTTAAAACTGCTTCGGGAGAAGGAACTTTCAGTTCTCTAACCCAGATTAGTATTGAGATAGCATGGAAAAATGACGCATTAAATGTTTGCACAAATGTTGGAACTACTTTTTGGTGAAGTAAGGACTGGACTCCTTTCCATCAACAGCATGGTGTTAAATTGGTGGCGTGACACCAGTTAAAGCTGTGCTCTTAAATCCGTGGTGTAGGACACTTTTCACAATACCAAGTCAATAATCCACAATCAAATGGTACTGAACTTCATTGAAAGCTGTTTGCATTAGTATAAAACAGGCTGCTGCTTAGAACTAGAAACTGTTATCAGAGCAAGCACTGCAGTTCTTGTGTGTGAATGTGATGTATTACCTGTATATGTTGTGATGGAGGAATGCTCTTGTTTTTACAGAGTGACCAGCAGCTGGATTGTGCCTTGGATTTGATGAGGCGTCTGCCTCCACAGCAGATAGAGAAGAATCTCAGTGACCTCATTGACTTGGTGAGTATTGGATACTTTGACCAAGTAATGGCTGAGTCCTGGGTGTGACGAAGATCTGGTATGTAAGAACATTTTCTGAAGCATCTCGGAGGTGTGGTGATTTGTTTCTCTCCTTGTCTTTTGGCAAGGTTGAATAATACTGCAATTGCCCAAACAATGTCAGGAATCTACATGTTTATTTTGGGCAAGCCAACAGGTACTACTGTGTATGCACGGACACGCTTTTGGCTGAAGGGTCATTAACACCTTGCTTGATGAAGTCATCACCAGTTTGGAGGCTGCTATTTAGTAAAAATTGTTTGGAGCAGTTTATACAAGGTTGATGCACGCCCTTGTATGTGTGTTTTGTCTCCTGATAAACTACCTGCCTGTTTGTGGTTTGACACAGGACTTGTGCAGTAGGTGCTGTGGATGTGCTATGGCACATGCTTCAAAGACGTTACTGAGACAGAATATGTCAGAACATTTGGGTTCTGGAGAACACCCGAATCTATTTGTAATTTATGCTACATCAGGTGTTCTGCAGTCGAGTATCCAAAAAAGCCAACGCCTGGCCAACCATTTCGTGCCTAATACCTGTTTTCCACTTGCCCCTGAAACATTTGTTTTCCTTCTATCAACTGCTAGTGAAGAAAACTAACTTAAGAAGGATACGTACGCTCATTCTTAGTTGCAGAGGATTTAGTTGCACATCCTGTGATGCACAGTTGGGCTATAATAGGCTAGCTAGTGTCAACTGTCCCTTCAAACAGTGTGTGGCACGGTTGCCTCTGGAGTAACTTAAAGTATTACTGAAAAAGGAATTTAATCTATATAGAACCTACTATATGGGTGGCTGTGAGAACTTGTTTCTATTGTCCAGTGTAAATATATGCGTTATTTCTGACCTAAGCTTCTAAATTTTTGCAGACAGAGGATACAGAGGCTGAAACAGGGCTGTTAGACCTCTGAGTTAAGCCTTTCCTCTTACCTGTAGTGAAAACTACATCCCTTTTCTGTGGCTGGTCTGAATTTTATTCATGATGCTGACAACCCTTGTCCAAAGACCCTAAAAATCTGATGATTCTGCACACAGCCGTGTCTCTTAATTAAATTGTGTCCGAGCTGTTTGTTGTCTTTGTGTGCAGAAGAGCGGCTGCTTACCAGGTAGAAGTTCAGTTGAGGAGGTCTGTTCCTAAGTGGTACTGAAGCTGCTGGTAGTGAACATGGGAGGGGTCTCATGGTCAAAAAGCTGTGGCTGACTTAAGTTTCTCAAACTGTTTAAATATTGCTTTTAGTTACATAAACCAAGGTACAGGTAAGAAAGCTTTGTGGGTCAGGAAAGAAATTATTCCCTGCAGGAAGGGATTATTTCTCTTTCTTGAAACCATTTAGTAATTGGCTACATCTGTGCCACCAAAACTCTTGGCAACCTAAAGCATCATTTTTGTGGCTGTTGCTGGAGGTAGGACACAGAGTAACTAAATCATTGATATGATCTGGTGTGACATGCTTGGTTTTCTGATGAAATTTGGAGGACTGAACAGATACCAAGGTTTGAGCAGCTCCAAGGACCATTCAAAACAATGAGTTGTTTGGGGAGCTATAGTAAGCTTGACTGTATAATTGGTATGAGGTTTTTTTAATGACTCAGAAAATTGCTGGTTACCTCTAAATGTTGGAATTACTTTTGGATGGTGCTCATTAGTGCTTTACATGCTTTCCATCAGCAACACGCTCACTGGGCTTCTTTTCATATTGAAAGTGTAACATGAAACAGACCAGTTTGAATGACGTTTGTTAGAAGGAGGGTCTGTGTGGTTCCTGTACTAGCCATTGCGGTCCCTTCTCTGGGGTAGAGATGGAATAATTTGTTAAATCCAGTATGATTTCTTTATTGTTGACACATCTGTAGACCTCTTCTGCAGCCACTCAGCATGACCTCCACAAGACTGAAGTCTACACTCCAGTTAGACAAGAGCAGTGTATGCACTGCCACCTGTAATAGTTCCAAAAACATCATAAGCCAGACTCAAGCAAATAGTTTTTTGACCTTTTTTGGCAAGTTTCATCCAAAACTTTAGAGTTGACGTTCTTACTCTGTTTCCTGTACCGTTACCAGACAATAACCTCCTTGAAGTAAAAGGTCAGACTCCAAATGCATGACGAGCATGAGCAGGTTCATTAAATTTGTAATAGAATTATAAAAGATGGCACCGTGACTTCTGCTTCCCTTGTGCTTGGTTTCCTTGCTTCATTACACTGTCATGCTGGAGTAGATGGGAAGCAGAGGCCAGTGTCGTGTTTTTCACGCAAAGCGTACGTTATTACTTGAAATCTGCTCACAGCTCAGCTTGCCATAGACTTTTAATAGGAATTGATCTCCAGACTGATAAGCGTAGCTGCTGTTTTGGTACTTGCTTAAGATCCATTGAAAGGAGATGAAAATGACTTAGAAATGTCCTTGTATGTTAAAAGTTTTCCCAAACTACTGATGTGAGAAACTTGATATCTATTTCCTAGGCTCGTATTCCTGCTGGGAATAACCGCACTAAGTTCCCTCCCTGAGATGCCTCGTTGTTAAAGCCATGCTCTGCTGGTACTTTTTAATAAAAGAGCATCTTGGTGCCAATATGAGTATATGGAATATGTTCAAGACTGTACATTAGTGCCCCCATGTGTTGGGCTGACAAGGGAAAGGATCCAAACTTGAACATGAAGTAAAAGGGTGGGTGGAAGAACAGAATTTTTGGGTCACTGGCCCACATCAGACCAGACACTTTTCATTCATTAGCAAAACAGTTTGTGGTTTGCCCTTTTACCACATCTGTTGTTGCATTTTTCAGACTGCTGAGTCTTCAATTAGGGTTCATTAGAGACCTTGTCAATCACAGGACTCCAGAAGTCCTGCCTGAAAGAAGCTGTGCGTGGTGCTGGTAATGTGCCTTGGCATAGAATGCTCTGGTTGGAATTCAATTAGGCATTATTTGTAAATAGACTACTCAGAGTCTGTCAAAATGTACAAGAGAACTTCTAGATCTCTACAAAAAGAGTTTAGCGTAGGCACATACCTTTTTAAGGACAACTAATTTAAATTAGAATAATTTCCCATGTAGCTCCTCTGGAAACTGTTGTACTGTAGCCTTGGAGCATCTACCTGCCAGCCAAGTGCAAACTGCAAAGCAGTTCTCCCCGTAAGAGGAGTGCTAAAGGTGATTGCGTGGCTCTTAAATGGATTTGTCGTGAGGATACGCCAAGTGATAGCCTTGCCTTGTCCAGAAGTTGCTGCTGCTGATATACCATGCTTCTCATAGAAGTCAGCTGTGAATCACATCTCATCACCTGCTGAAAGGAGAATATTAAGGGTATTTTCTGGAGGGAAGTGTTTCTTGTTTTTAGTTAAGAGTGAGGTCTTGTTTTGGTTCCTGGCAATCGCACTGAGTGGCATGAAATAAGCTGGTAGAGCTCACTTCTTAGTGGCTAAATGGTTTATACTGAAAAATCAGAACAATCTGAGAGAATTGTCCCCCTGTTTCCTTTCTCTTAAGGTAATCTGAACAGTATGTCAGTCCCCATGTACTTTTAGCTCTGAGAAACCCCGAAGAAGACATCAGCTTTCAGGTAGCGCTGCTGTGAAGCATTTCTTCCTAGGACACCTTGGCAGCATGCATAACAGGGTAGGTGAGTGATAGCTGGGGTCACAGCCTCCAGAATCCTTTTGGGTTTCTTTTGCAAGGCAGCTTCTCTGACGTGGCTTGCAGGGGTGCATCTCGGGGGGAGGTGGAAGATGGAAGTTGGATTTACTGTGCCCATGGGCCATGTGCAGCAAATAAGGGGTCTGTGACAGGATTGTCTGGATGGCTTTGACTTGACTATGGAAGCTCTCAGTCTTGGTAAAATTTAAGCAGGTTCTTTTTGCAAGTACGAGTTTCCTGCTGAATGTTTAATTTGGATGTTTGCCTGTGTGTATATAATATAAATTAGATGAAAAATCCAGCTGACTCAGAAAAATCAGATGGCTGGCATAAAGTGGGGATGGAGAATCATCCTTACAAAACTGGCACACAAAATGGACAAGCAGACTTGCCAGGAGAGTGGGGTTTGCTCACAGCCACAGCTTTCTTCCTCTCTTTTCCCAGTAAGACACATTCAAATAACATGCACTGCCAAAAGTGAAAGCTTTCTTGAAGTACAGAATCAAGTTATGCTGCCATGGAAGAATTAAAGCTAGAGTTCTTCTTAGATACAGCAGTCAGTAACTTTGCTGGTTATTTTTCAAGGCTCTGTTTGCAATTAAAGATCATCTTTGCTTTCTCATTGCAGGAGAATGCGTAAGTATTTTTAGTAAGATTTGTTACTTTTTAGAAAAGTCCCAGAGTGATGAATTTAAAAATGTATGAACTTACGATTTTGAAATATTTGAACAATATGCAGGACCTTACTTCATGTAGCTAATCTGCCTCCAGGCAAGTCTCGAATCTGCCTGTATGCCTTCAGTAACTGAAGATATATGAAGCTAGAGAATTTATCCCCAGGAAAACTGCATTGCTTGGTCTGCACAGACCATAAAGAACATGAGAAAGTGACTGGAGCTTTTTGTATTTTGAGTCCAAGAGCCTAAGCAGTATGCAGTATTGAGGAGAAAGATAAAATAATTGAATGCAGATGGCTGGCTGAACATCTAGTGAGGGTGGAAGATGTTTTTTAGAAAAAATAAAAATCAGACCCAGTGCAAACTTAAAGAAAATAGTGGAAGGAGAAATGCATTGACAGCCTTGTGGTCTCAAAACTGAGCGTTTGACCTGCTGTTCTTCCTGGACTTGCTGACTTGTGTGATAGGCTCTAAGCCACCAGCAGCCAGTCAGGTTTCTAACATAAGTGTTATGCACTAAAGAAAGGGGCTCTGGCTCTCTGAATAAATTTATGGTTGGTGAGAGCCCGTTTTCCATTTGGTGACTGGCTATAAGCAGGAGCTTTTTCATCTAGAAAAGATTACCCCTGGATATCTTGATGGTAATTGG